CTAGCTTTGGGCTAGTCCTGGAAATTACATGCTCTAGTGCAAAGCTCGAATTCCACATAGGGAAACATCTGCCCTAATTGTGGCCAAAGCATAATCATGTAGAACATTTTGTAGGAAAAATCAAACTATATTGATGTGTTACCTCAAAAAAAAAAAATCATTGACGTTGCAGCTAGGAAATTGCCCTGTAGTGTGTGGGTGTGTCCCCAAACAGCAGAGTGAGGGAATAAGAGGCCCAGGGAGCAGGGGCGGATGACAAACACAACTCAATGGTAGATTGCAGATGCTCCATGTGTCGATACTGCGTGTGATGCATGGCCAGCACTGATGCGCCTCCAGGAGAGGGCGAACCCTGATCCAAACCTGAAAGACAACCTGTAGAAGGTATGTAAGCGTTGGCCTTTTGGGGTTGATTTTAGAAAGGCAGACCAGATCATTTTCCTCCTCTGAAAGACATCAAATAGGGTTCAGGTGTGTTTTGTTACTTCAAAAAAATTGTAATAAGCCTCAAAATTTGATTTCACAGGTGGGCTCTTCCGTAGAATCTTTTTTTACCACTGATAATTTGAAAGGCTGGAATCTCCTGTGCTTTAGGGGTCAGTAGAGGCAGGAGCTCTTGGGGACCACTGTTCCCCAGAGAAGGCGTTTCTGAAACCAATCAGTGCAGCTCAGACTGTTCTCTCCTTCTGAGTCAATGGGAGAAAGCATCACGGGAGGCTTGCTGTTAAAACACAGGAGGAAGACAGTCCTGGAGGGCAGAGACCATGCCCCTAAAGTGGTCCTGAATGGCCCCTGTCATGAAGCTACTTGCATAGGAACACTTCATGAACCTGTTGAAGGAGGGAAGACGGGCCGTTTCCTGCACTAAGTGTCATGCCAGGGAGCAACTCGGCCACTGAGGTGACCTTCAGGTTACTGAGAACAGAGCTACACCCCTGAGTGCCACAGCACCTGTGTAGCCATGTCCAAGGAGCAGAGAAACAGGATGGTCAGTATCCTGGGGGCCCACATCTGTTTACTGAACCAGGCCACTTGAGTTCTAGTTTCTGTGTGTGTCTGATGTTTGGGAGAGGGGAGACATGAGAAAAGCACTTATTGAGCACCTGGTGTGAACAAAATTTACACTTGGGATAGAGGCCCAGCCCCACCTGCAAGCAGTCTTGGGCTTCACGGCTAGATGGAATACATCCATGGAATATCTGGTGATCGAAACAAATTGCATCAAGCCAGATCTCCATCTTCCTTGACCTGTTTTCTTCTCTCTCATTAACTGAGTTCTTCCAGCCCCTCTTATAGGACCACTTTATCCTCCACCATCTATAAACTTCCATCCTTTTATCCAATTGATTCAAAATAGTCATCCCTCATCCTACAACTTCCAAAACCTACACAACTCCACTATACATTCTGTCAACCTCCAAAAGACTTCCACCTCTATTTCAATATTTATCAATCATTTAACATTTGCCATAAGAAATATTATTTTTAAAACAGTATTCATACACTGGGGTACCCAACGACTCTACTATTCAGAAATTAAAATTTGCAGATTCAACAACACTTCTGAGTGCCTAAGGTATACCTGATAAGTACCAGGGATGCTAACGGAAGTTAGTATGATCCTGGCTGTCAAGGACTCACCACCCTATAAAGGTGACAGTCGGGAACAAACAATTAACCCTCAGCTAGGTAAAGGGCAGCACAGGTAGGTGTAAAATACCAGGAGCCTGAGACAGAGGATGGATCCTTCCAGTGCCATCTGAGGGGAGTTTGTCCTCCCTAAAGAGGTCCCCAAGGGAGACTCACTGCCAAATTATTTCCCAGAGCATTTTGCAAGCATTATCTCATTTTATTACAGAATGAAAAAGAAATGGCAGGTATGCCTCTGAGATGTCTGTCTCATTCACAGGTAGGATTTGCAAGGTCAGCCCGACAAAGCCTGAGCACAGTTTCCAGGGAGAATGGCATGCCTGCACTTGAGGAAACTGTGAGGTCACATGACTTGCAAAAGGCCAAGCAAAAATTAGTGACTTCTGGTTCTCAGTCAGTGTTGTTTTCTTTTTTTCCCCACCACACCAATGATACATCTCATTTCTAGAACTTTTGATAGACATGCTCATAATATTCTTGAAATTGCCTTTATCCATTATGAAAGTCTTGAGAATTTGTCCCAGAGGCCAGCAGTAAATTGCTATCACCTTCACTTTAAGGGTTTGCCAGCCTTGGGAAGCTGGTTATTTCATCTCCAATCTTCTTTGTGGCATTTGTTCCCACCTCTCAATCTCAACCCTCCCAGACACAGCCCGAAGGGCTGCAGCCCAGCACTTCAATATCACCCATATGACAAAGGTGCCTCTTAGTGTTTGTTTGGCTGAGGTTTTATTTTTATGTTGTTTTGTTTCATGGCTTCTGGGTTCTGAGCAGGCACAGAATCGGAGCTACTAAATATGCAGACCAGGGGGACAGAGGCTGAGCCACCAGGCTTCTGCAGCCACCTGTATGATGTAGGACAGATGAGGCTAGATGCCAGAGGAATTCTCGGGAAGCAGGTTTATTTAAGCTGCAATGGTCCAGAGGGGCTGATTCCTAAAAATCTCTGGATCCCAAGTCTGGAAATTCTTTTAGATTTCTACTCAGTGGGATAGTTACAGGACAGTGGGAGTGGGTGGGAACATAACAGTTACTCTTTGTCCCATATTCTTAGGCTAGAGAGAGGTTTCACACGTTTTGTCTACAAACCTGGCATTTACAAGAAAGAGGAAGCTTCAAGCCACATTTGAGCTCTCTGCAGAACTCCTGTGAAATCCTGTTGACAGTCTTGTAAAAGTCTTTCTGACAAGAGAAGCAGCTTAATTATGGTGGGGGAGGGTTCTTTAGGGTGGGGGGTACGTGCTCTGCTTTATGTAAGCCCTGCCTGATGGATAAGCTCAGCCTCACCCGCACCTCGGCCAGCAAGCCCAGCTCGCCCTACCTCTGCTAGTATATAACTCAGTGAACAAAATCTAGGGTATCTTAACAACCGGCAATTTTCCCTTTGGATTGACAAGACTTTTGGATAAATGTTGCTTTGGTTTGTTAAACTGAAGGACCCTCTTTGTACATATGAAAAATAACACAGGCTCATAGGCAGCATGTGTTGTGCCCTCTGATATCCAGGACCAGGTCCCAGGGTAAAAAGGAAGGTAGACAGGTCTGTGCTGCACCGTGCAGCCAGCCCTGGGTGGAGAGAGCAGCAAGCTGAGCATCAAGAGACCTGATTCGATTCGAAGATCTGCCGAGATTAATGAGCTGTGTGTCCTGGAGAGTTGATTTCCTTAGACAGGGGAGGCGGGCTGTGATCCCTAAATTCCCTTCAATTCTGTGTTTATGATGCTAAGGTTAAAATATAGCTCTGCCAAGGAGATGGCTGGGTGGCCAGCCTCGTTATACGAGGAACAAGAAGCAATGGTCCAACAGAGATGCCCTCCCAGTCTGACAGATGTGTGCCGGGGATTGACATTATGGGAGAACACCCTGCTTTGTCAGGTGGTGCAAGGATGCCCCTTCCATTCTCAGCCTGCATGAACCCTGTCTGCAGAGGTGTCTGGGGGCAAGCTGACTTCCGGGTGTCTCTGCGGTGCAGAGTTGACTTCCACTCCCCAGCTTGGGATGAGGCTGAAGGCTGACCCACGCACAGGATGCCTAACAGTAACTGCTTCTCCACCTTGAGCCAGAGGGAAGGGACAGTCTTTTGTTACCTTTCAATCTAAAAGACTAAGCAAGGCCTCATTCTTTGTTCATGCATACCCACAGACTCTTGAGGTTTTGTTCCTCCTGTTTTCTGAGCTTTGTTAAAGTTGTACCTACAGGGGCTGGGGTGGTGGCTCAGGAGTACAGTACTCGCCTCGCACGTGCGAGACCTGGGTTCGATCCACAGCACCACATAAAAATAAATAAGTGAAATAAAGGTATGGTGTCCAACTACAACTAAAATAAATAAATAAATAAATAAAGAAAGAAAGAAAGAAAGAAAGAAAGTTGTCCCTAGAACAGTGTGATGGAGACCAGTGTTTTCAGATTTCCATGTACCTCCAAATCAGCAGGGTTTCTTGCTTGAAAGCAGATTTCAACCCAGCAGGTTGGGGATGAGACATTCCTGGCAAGCTCCCTAGTGATGTCCATGAAGTTGGACCATGAACCAGACTGGGCGTTGAAGATGCAGAGAAAAGGAAAGAGTCCCCATTTGTAGGTTGCTACAGAATACTCAGTGCTCATGTGTCCCTAAGCTCAATTTACCATACCAAAAAAGAAGAAGAAGAAGAAGGAGGAGGAGGAGGAGGAGGAGGACGACGACGACGACAAGGATGAGGGGGAGGAGGAGGAAGAGAAATCATCTTTAGCCTCAATTTTTCATCTTTTGGCAATATCATTTTCTATCCTGTGTGTTTCAAGGTACCATTGAAAGAGCCAACTGTGTTCACTTAGAAAATGTGCAAATGTAATAGTGTCAATGTTTTCCACTCTCCCAGGCAGCTACTGGAGAATGTGATTCTGGTATACTAAAGAATCTCTAACAAAGTGTGTTAAACTTGCATGCCCTAGGAATCACCAAATATTCCAGTAAACGGACCTTGAGCAGGCCTAGGCACATGCACTTTAACAAAGCACCCAGGTGATTCCATGCTGTGAGTTCTCAGACCATGCCTTGAAAAATCTGTTCCTAGTGGTAAGAGTGCATTTTCCATCTTTTGGCAATATCAACGCCCACCTATCCATTTCAAGGTGGGCCAAGTGAGTTCAGTGTGCAAATGTAGCCATGTGAACGTTTTCCACTTCTCTGGGCAGCCTCTGGACCACGTGCAGTCAGTGGAGTGCTTTATACAAAGACTGTCACTACTCTGGATTAGACTGTCACACTCTACTTCCCAGCTTCTGGGTGTGGTTTTTCCTGGCTCTCTGCTTGGCGCTCAGGGGTATGGACCAAATGAGGTGCTGACCTGTCTCTTTTCGCCCCTGGCTAGGTGGCAGTGGGGAGCAGTCACCACCACCAGGCCCAAAGGCGGAGGAGGGCTCTGAGGCTGTGCTCCCCAGGCAAAGGAGCGTGTTCCACATCGAGTGGTCGTCCATTCGGAGGAGGAGCAAAGGTGTGAGCACTCTCCCCCTCGTGTGCAGTCCCTGGCTTCCTCATCTCTAATAAAACAGGGGCAGTGACAGTACCTGCTTCCCAGGGTGGTGGGGAGACCCATGAAGGTCAGGTTCATTCTTTTTATGTGACCACTGACCAAAGCCACCATTTTCCTTGGTCTGAACACACCCTGCCTACGGGCCAGGCTGTGGGCTAACACAGGGCTAGGCCAGGGGTCTCAGCCTGGCTGCATGTGGCAATCCCCTGTATCCCATCCCCAAAGCTTTAATTTAATTCATCTGAGGAGTAGCTGGGCTGGCCTGGGTCTTTTAGAGCTCTTTATGAGATTCTAATTTACCACCAATTCAAAAACCACTGGTCTGGGAGATTATACTTGAAAAGGCCTCATCTGAGACAGTGGTGGGAATACCAAGGCCAAGGGAACAGGTAGAGGGGAATGGCGAGGAGGGGGCCGGGGGAGCAGCCAAAGCTGAGCAGGTGAAGAAGCCAGAGACCTGGAAGATGAGGCAGGTTCTGGTAAACAGGGGGAGTCTGGAGAGATCAGCTACAGTGTGGAATAACCTAGTGGAAAGTCAGAGAGCCAATCCAACTTCACCCAACCCCCAGAGAGGGGAGCAGATTGCCCAGGGTTTCAAAGCTGGCCAGAGGCACTGCAGGGGGTAGAGATGACTCTGCAGATAGTTCCCCCCTCACAACACATGCCTCCCTGAAGATGCATCAGTATTTCCTTCCTCCAATTCATCTAATCTCACCCTTGCACACCAGAAGTCAGCAAGGCCAGAGAAATGGGCCTGGGGAGGTTATAGGAAGATTTACAAGGTGGAGAGAGAATTGCGGATAACTGAAGGGCCCCCAAGCCCTTTAGTGTGTCTTTGACAGGGGCCTCTGACATGGTGTGAAAGAGCATTGTCTCAAAAGGTCAACAGCTTCCTTCCTAATATCTCTTGGGATGGTGAGCTGGGGGCATGGTAGAGTGGGGTCTCATGCAGAGGAGCTTGGAGATGGAGTGCTTGGGAATTCCACAGAATGGCAGGCAGAGGAATCTCCAGACAGAAGCGGTGGGTTCATCAAGAGATCACACATGATCTGAGTTATAGAACTTCTCTCTGTTCCTCCTTTCAAAACTTCGTGGCATAACTTCCCAGCCACACTGGTATTTTCAGCCCCTGCTCCTTCAAAAGTGGGAACACAGTCCCTTTGACGCATCCCTTCCTTTACACCCAGAAGTCTCAGGAGTACAGACTGGCAACCACCAATGCAGTCTCAAAAATACCGAGAGGGCAGCATCCAGCCTGCCATTCTCACACTTGACCACAAGAGGGAGCCATAGCACCAAGACGGAAACTTGCAAGGGCCATCATTCAGGGTGCCTAAAACCCTACTKAAATTGGTCATCCGCAAAAATAAGCTGTCCTCAATAATCAAAAATGTTTAGAGTCACATTACAAGAGTTTTCTAGAATTAAAAGTATACACAAAAGTGTATATGATATCTACATAGATATCTTATCCTGATCCAAACAGCAATTGCCATCTATTAAAATGCCTAAAATTCAGAGACAAACATCAAAAAATAGAGAATAAGAGAGAAAGAGAGAGAGAGAGAGACAGAGAAAACCAAAGACCAATCAGCCTGAAATCAGCCAGCTGAGGAGAGTCAGAGTCAATTTCAAACCCAGATCCTTCATGGCCAAGGCAGCCTACTGCTTCATAAGGAACAAGTGAAGGACGGCAACCCCATCCAGTCCCTTCCTCTTGCACTGACTTGTGGCGCAGGAGAAAGAACTCTGGTTTCAGGGGTCACAGGAAAGTCATATCCCTCGGGGCTCCTGTTCCCTCATTTAATGAACATAGGAGTCGAGCTACATTGGGGCTTCTTCATCAAGGGTCAGTGAACTCCCGATACTCCTCTGAACTCCCTATATTCCTTGTAAAACATCCTGTTTACATGAACATGTAAATTTTTTCCCAAAGGGAGGACCCAAATGGGCCTAAGACCAGTAAAGGAAGGTACAATATGCCCAAGAGTCTAACTCGAGCCTTGTACTAAAGTACTGCTGAGGTGCCCGAACTGATGATTCTCTTTCCTTCCTTCTTCAGTGTTTGGAAAAAGCGAACACCAGGAGAGACAAGCCAAAGAGCCATTTCCCTATCCATACCGGAAGCCCACCATTGAGCTGCTTGTGAGTACAGGGTGTCCCAAATCGGGGACAGCRCCTTCCAGTCACACAGCCTGTAGCAGATTGGGGAGCTGAGGTCTGTCAAGGAGGTTTTCTGATTTAGGCAAACTTTTCTTGAAATTCATATTTTCAGAAATGTAGGGACATTTAGATAAAATGGTCACGGTTTGCTTTGTGAACTTTCATATTCCTTTTATTTGAATTATCTCTTATCAGGTTTCCTCTAAATCAAGAATTTAGGAAATAAGATCATGCCAATTTTCAAAAATGGAATCTTCACCTATTCAAATTCATACCTTTATATTCATGGTCAGTTYAATTTTAAAGAGTAGACATGCAGAAGTGAAAACGATTTCTTCTAGAAAGAGTATGGTATATTTAAAATTCTACACATCTGTGTTTAACCTTAACCCTACTGTTTGACCTTGACCTTTGCAAATAAGAATCTCTGTATGKCTGAGCCCTCTACCACAAATGAGGATGAAAGTGTCCTCTCGTCCCTCATTAAATGAGGTGGCCTGTCAAACAAAAGAAACAGGTCCCTGAGGACCACCAACGTCAGTGTGAAAACCACAGGTGGTAGGAGGCTCTTGCCCCTCTCTTTTCCCTGGGCAGGATCTGAACACCATGGAGGAGAGCTCCGAGATTAAGGTAGAAACCAGCACGTCCAGGACTTCCTGGATCCAAAGCTCCATGGCYGCCAGCAGGAAGAGGGTCAGCAAAGCCCTCAGCTACATCACGGGAGAGATGAAGGAATGCGGAGAGAGACTTAAAGGTACAGTTTTGTGAGAGCAGCCCTAGATCTACACCTAAAAGGTCACCTTGGCCACCCCTGGAAATGCACTGGCATGGTGGGAGCTGAGGAGGTGTTTCTGTAGACTAGAATGAGCTCTATCCAGGGTCTTCCAGGAGAGCTAGGAATTTGCTGTTACATAGTCTCTTAGGATGTAAGTACAGGTACAGTTACATGTGCAAACTCTCATTTCTAAATGGCATAGTCCTGCGCTCCCAAATGTCCCACTCAGATAAACATTTGTAGTGCTGGGATCCTAGGGAGTTAGCAGCATTCTAGAAAAATGCCTTCTGGCTGACGTACAGGAGAACTGTCTCCCAGGTCAATAGATTCTCTCCGGCAATGCCCCTGAGCTCAGCTCCTGGGTGTGGCACCCTCTATGAAGCATGAGAGTTTTTCTGGAAACTTTATGCCACTCTTATGGGAGGCACAGACCACAYAGGGGACCTAATCCCCACCGCAGGAAGGACAACCTAGAGACGACGTCCAGTTGGCAAGGGGTCCCGAGGTTTTGGGCAGTCAATGCTCTCCCAGGTTCTCCTTTGACACTCTTCAGTGGCAGGTGACAGCAGGTGGCTGACTCCCTAGATGCCCACTTTGGATTTTCAGGGAGATCCCACACTCCCTGGGCCTGGCCACCAGGCCTCGCCCGGGACCTCCACACCGAGCCTTTGCCAAGTCCCTCCCTATTCTGTTTCAGACAAATCCCCAGTGTTCCAGTTTCTGGACTGGGTGCTCCGGGGCACGTCTCAGGTGATGTTCGTGAACAACCCCCTCAGCGGCATCCTCATTGTCCTTGGCCTCTTCATCCAGAACCCCTGGTGGGCCATCTCGGGTTGCCTGGGCACCATTGTGTCCACCTTGACAGCCCTCATCCTGAGCCAGGACAGGTAAGTCCCCAGAGACCCAGGGTCCAAGTGTAAGAYCAAGAGGGCACTCCTTCGAGAGGACACCTTCTCACCCCTCAGCTCAGAAACCCCTCAGAATAAGAGCACTGGTAGCTGAAGGCAATATTTCCTAGGGACATACACATTTTTCTAGAGAAAAATGCAGGGGTGATAGGGCTGTGTCCTCACCCAGTCACTCCCATAATGATGGCCTATGAAGCATGTGGCAGGAAAAGGCCCTGGGAGCCAGGAGTGGTAACGCACACCTGTAATCCCAGCAGCTCGGGAGGCTGAGGCAGGAGGATCACAGATTCAAAGCCAACTGCAGCAACTTAGCAAGACCCTTTCTCTAAATAAAAATATTAAAAAGGGCTGGGGATGTGGCTCAGTGGTTAAGTGCAGGAAGGACAACCTAGAGACGACGTCCAGTTGGCAAGGGGTCCCAAGGTTTTGGGCAGTCAATCCCCGATACCAAAATAAATAAATAAATAAATAAATAAATAAATAAATAGCCTGGGAAAACCTCCACTTCACCAGCCCCATTTGTCCCCAGGTCAGCAATTGCAGCAGGACTCCATGGCTACAACGGAGTGCTGGTGGGGCTGCTGATGGCAGTGTTCTCAGACAAAGGCAACTATTACTGGTGGCTTCTGCTCCCTGTCATCGTCATGTCCATGTCTTGGTAAGTCCGTTCTGAGGTCATGGGTTCAAATCCAAAGGCCACTGTTCTTTTGACCTTGACCCTGTGACTGCCCATCTAAACTCCGTTTTTAAGTGCCTTTTGTTGAACTTGCATGTCAGAGACACCCATGGAAACCTTGACTGACATGCTGCTGCTGCAGCACAGTGCAGTACAGGTCACACTGCTGCAGCACAGTGTATAGGTCACCTATACACCAGGTCTCAGCTACCATCCTTTTTTCTTTTGTTAAGATCTAATGGGGTTTCTGCTTAACCCTGCCAGAGCCCAGAGCAAGAACTGAGGYCCACACAGGGGAAGAACCACACTACGGGGGCCTGTCAGTTTCCGGCAATCTCCTCCCTCCTGCTCCCACAGCTTTCCTCTGTCCCTGGGACCCCGACTGGGGTAGGCTGAAGGACAGCCATGGGGCAGAGCCCTCAGAACACCAGGCTCCTCTCTCACCTCCAGAAAATACTGGGCACCCTGGCCATGAGGCTAGTGAGCTTGGCCACTCAATAAACACTAGCTAAATGACTAAGTGACTGTGACTCCCTCCCCACTGCTCCCCCAACCTGTCCTCTCTCTCCTGCCTGGGGAGGGAGCTGTATGAGGAAGTAGTGAGACTCCTGTCCTTTAAAACTTCTCCCAGAAAGCCCTCTTTCTGGAGGTGAGTGTGGGCATCCCTTCCTGTACCCTGCACAGGGAGGAGGCGCAGGGAAGGCCCTGGCCCAGGGCCAGTCATGCTCGGGAGGGACCCCAGCAGGCTGCTTTTCTCTGGGAAGGTGCAGGGGTCTCCTGCTGCTGCGTGGCCCGGTGGGGGAGCCAGGCAGCTTCCTGACCACCATGTCTTGTGCTTCTGCCATCAGCCCCATCCTCTCCAGTGCGCTGAGTACCATCTTCAGCAAGTGGGACCTGCCAGTCTTCACGCTGCCCTTCAACATTGCTGTGACCCTGTACCTGGCAGCCACAGGCCACTACAACCTCTTCTTCCCCACGATGCTGCTACAGCCTGCATCCTCTGTGCCCAACATCACCTGGTCGGAGGTCCAGGTGCCCTTGGTAGGTGTCATGGAAGGAGGAAGGGCAGTGTCGGTACAAGCTCAATATCAAAGTGGTATCTGTGTATTGTGCACACAAGGAATATCCTGAGTGATAATTCCTGACAGTTATGCAATCCAAGACATGCTTTGCACACATCTCATGACCKACCCTCCTTGCCTCCTTCTAAGGGCTAAAAGGGTTATTTCTGGTCCCACCTGTTATAATACAGAGAGCAGAATGGAGACCAAGTTTGGAGACCCACCTGAGATCACACAGMAAATTAGTAAGGAGCAAACTCCAGACCCCTGACTCCAGGCCTGGGTTCTTTTCTTTTTTCCTTTGTTGAAAAGTATTTGTGAGCAGGGCATGGTAGGAAGCACATGCCTAYAATCTCAGCAACTCAGAGGGCTGAGGCAGGAGGATTGCAAGTTCAAAGCCAGCCTCAGCAATTTAGCAAGGTTTTAAGTAAATTAGCAAGACCCTGTCTCTAAATTTAAAAATGTTTAAAGAAGGGTTTGGGATGTGGCTCAGTGGTAAAGTGACCCTGGGTTTAATCTCGGGCACCAAAAAAAAAAAAAAAAAAAAAAGTATTTTTGATGCTTTACTCTGATTTTAATGCAAGTGTGTCTTTTCTTCCCTCAATATCATTGAATCATTAAAAATGTGCACATTATGCTACCATGTATTGGCTTAAAAAGTCACAGTTATAACCTCCAGCGCTTATTTCATTTGCTCTTTGAGGCTGGCTCATGTTTTAAAGCGCAGGTGTTCCCCCAATATGAACTATATATAACAGAGCTTTCAAAATTGTTTTTTTTTCCTCTTTAACAAGTATTCTGTATAAAATGCTGACCTCTGGAAGTCTGCCAAGATAATGAATAAGAAGCTACACTAAAAGCACTAAATCAGCTTGAGAAACATGCCCATCAGCCTTCTTATCTAACCAGGCACGTTTTCTCCGAGGCCTCCTACTTTCCATTAYGCTAAAAGGCCCCCCAGTCTGACAGTCACCCTGAAACTTCATTATTGGCCATTCATCACCACAACGCCACTTGGGCTTGTTGAAAGAACTTTCAGATATAATGAAGCCTGGTGTCTCTCCACATTCCACAACATGGGTCAAAAGAGCCCTCCATTTGCACTAAGAAGCATCATTAGTTAGCAAGGAAACCTTTGTGGTAGCCCCRTTTTGTTGATTGTTATGTTTTTTCCAAGAACCTTCTTGGGTCAGAGGTGAGAAGAGGTGCTGTGTTGGGGTTCAGCTCCCCAGATTTCCCAGTCGTGGTATTTTCCCAATTCAGTTCTTTTGGAAGCAAAATTACTCAAGCAGTGTGTTATGAGATGATGTCAGAAGTTGCAAGYTTAAGATATTACATTCTCTGCACCACATTTTCAATTGGAAAAATATTTTCATCACTTTATAGAAATGAAAAAAAAAAGAAGAATCCTGTATACATAATTTAGAAATCCAAAACTCAAGGCAGGGGGAGCCAATTTGTGGTGGTCATTCTTTAAGAAACACCTTTCTGGCTAACTGAATGAATTATGATAATGATTCATTTATTGGATCTTCTTGACAATTCTAATTAGAGTCCAGTTTCTGAAAAATATGTGGTCAATGTCAGAGCAAGGGTCTAAAACTGCCAACAGGTTTGAGCCTCCCTGAGTTYCTCTGTTCTCATGGCCATTAGAAAGGCTCCTCAGCTGTGGTAACTATGCAGGGATCAAACTGCCCAGTACCACTGCCTCTGTGTCAAACTCTGTCACCTGTCCCCTTGCTCCTGCATGGCCATGCCAGAGCTCCTACCCTGTTCTCCATCCTGGAGTGCAGGGTACTGGCCTGCAGGGTTAGCCCACTAGGCCTGTGCTCCTCTCTCTGTATCCTCTCACTAGGTGTGAAGCCCATGAGCTGCAAGTTCTCTGTCCCCTGGCACCCACAGGGAGAGTCTTCTAGAGGGCTCAGATTGACAGGAGACTTGCCATAATAGATACACAAAYTCACCCCAAGATTCTGCTTCTCCCCAGCTTACTGTCCCAGGGGCAGGCAAACCCAGCACATGCCAGTGTGGCCCAAGCCAATTCCACTCAGCACTTTCCTGTACCAAGGGCCTTTGGCCAAACCCTCCAAGACAAAGGACCCAGTGGCAGTCACCAGGGAAGCCTGCAWCCTAGTATCCTCTTCTCTGACTCCAGGGCATCTGTGCAAGTGCCTACAAGGTTTCCAACTTTCTTGAATGCTCTGTCACTCTCGAGTCCCATTGGACCTCGAAATACCTGGAGAAGAGGGTACTCCAGGTTAAGCAACAAAGAGAGCAGATGGTGGACATGCCACCTTCTCCAGGCCCCTTCTGTGTCTCGTTGTTCAGCCAGACAAGACTCATGTCACCACACCCAGACATGTGGTTCTTGGAAATACAAAAGTACATTTTCCATCTTCTAGTTAGTCTTCTTGTCATCTTATTTTGTTTGAAAAACATTATGAAAGTTTTGATCAGAAATCTATTGCTTTGCTAATGAATAATGCCCTCGAGTGAAAGTGTTTCAGTTCCTCTTCACAAGGAAGATAAGAGTCTTACCCTCCTTTTCCTAAATGAAGGAAACTCAACATCCTGACCCCTGGGTGTTCCAAGAGCTCAAAGTTARGATGATCCTTCTTGTGTTCCTCTTCGAGTTGACCTATTTGAGTCACCTTGGAAACCAGTGGCAGTAYGTGTTGGTGCTGAATCTTGGAGCTAAGGTTGAAGGCATCTCTTTGGCTTCCCTAATAATGTGACTCTGTCTCCACAGCTTTTGAGAGCCATCCCCGTTGGGATCGGCCAAGTGTACGGCTGCGATAACCCCTGGACTGGAGGCATTTTCCTCGTGGCCCTGTTCATATCCTCACCTCTCATTTGCTTACACGCAGCAATCGGATCYACCATGGGGATGTTAGCAGGTCTGTGTCATCGCTTTCCCTTGTTAATGAGCCGTAGGGACCCCAGTGCCTGGAACCAGCTGTAAAGAAACCAGGGACATGTGTCTTTATCGCCACACCTGCACATTCCCAGAATTCCAAATTCCCCCTCCTTCCACTGCACTGTGTTTCTCCACTATTGGTGGCAGCGCCCTCTAGCGCCTCCAGGTAAAAGTGGTCCTTGAGAAAGACTGGTGCCAGTCACTGACACCGTAGTGTAAATTTAAAGTTTGGGAGAGATTTCCTCTAGGCATTTTCAAAATCTTAAGATCCCCAATGACAAAAAGGAGTTGGATTTGTTTGCAAAACGATTCCCTCCCTCCCTTCCCTCCTTCCTTCCTTTCTTTCTTCCTTTTCCTCTTTGGCAGGAAAAGGACATTCTCTGGACTGTTTAAATCAGATTTCAGTCTTTTATCAGAGGCTCTCTGCAGCTCCTAACAGCTTAGCCACTAGAATTCATGTAGCCCTGTGGCTATTTATTCTGTTTTAGATGTAGTTTCACTGAATAAAATCAGAAGTCCTTGTGTGTGTGTGTGTGTGTGTGTGTGTGTGTGTGTGTGGTGGGTGTGGGACAGGCACAAGAGCCCCATAGGATCCGTGACTCAGTACTGACGCCTGCCTTCTCTCCCAGCGCTCAGCATTGCCACTCCCTTTGATGCCATCTACTTCGGCCTGTGTGGCTTCAACAGCACTCTGGCGTGCATTGCCATCGGAGGCATGTTCTACGTCATCACCTGGCAGACRCACCTCCTGGCCATTGCCTGTGGTAGGTACCTCTGACAGTGTCCCCATAAAAGATCCACCCTGTGAAAATTCTGCTAACTCCCCAAAGATAAATAGGGGGATCTGTTTGCTTTATAGCTGGGCTTTTAGTTAAAACTGTCTTCAATAGCTGCCGAAGGATCAAATGGTTACATGCAAAACTATTTTCTCCATGGACACAATATTTCAGCCTCATGGTGGCAGGTTTGTTTTGAGGTTATGGCTAGTTCATTGTTGAATTATTTCATTGTTGAACTGCGAATTTCCTGAATAGTGATTGGAGCTGACAAGTGTCTTTTAAGCAAGTTAATCCTTACACATGAAATCTGGCGATTTACATCACATACAGCGTTGAAACTTAAACATCCAAACATTGATCATAATCCTTTCAGATGATCCCTCTGAGTTACATGCTCAGTGCCCCAGGAACTTAGATTAACCCTAACAATTGGCATATTTTTATATTTTCATCCTTGAACATTTTTTATTTCTTGATGTTTTATGAAGGAAAACCGAATAAAACTCCTTTTGAAACAGAGATTTAAAACAGAGATGTCACTTCAGCACAGCATAGATTCCGGAATATGAGCTCCATTAACTTAAAGAATAAGTTTACAATCAAAAGCTTCCCAAATATTCTTTTCTGGGGAAGATGTTCTGGATCAGATATCACCGTTGACTTGTTTCCTTAATATAATTAGTATATATATTTTCTTTTCCCTTTTTTTTCTTTTTTATTATTTTTTAGTTGTAGATGGACACAATATCTTTCTTTTATTTAGTTATTTTTGTGTGGTGCTGAGGATCAAACCCAGTGCCTCACATGTRCTAGGCAAGCGCTCCACCACTGAGCCAYAACCCTAGCCCCCAAGATATGTTTTCTTTTGTACTTTATGATAGTCACTGCAAACATGAAGAAGGCGAACCCTGAAGTAGGTGTGAAGGGTTAGTGCTGCTGTCTTTTTCTTCCTTCCTTTTAAAAATTATTTTGTGACCCCAAAAATCTCCATTGTTAAGCCAGGCACTGTAGGTACTTATGTAATTACTTTTATTTGCTCATATTGACGAAATAAGCTTAGCACTAAAGAGGCATTTTAAGTGTCACCTGGCTAGCCTACACCAGCTCTCTGAGGTTGTTTTTTTTCCACTTTGTGAAGGTGAAAAAAAATTCCTCAAAGAACCAGGGCCAGGATGAGGATGTGACAAATGAGGCAGCTCAAATGCAAAACTGCAGGAGGTGCTCACTGTCAGGGTCCTGCAGGGGATGAGGTCTACATGTCTCCATGATCCTGAGCTGGAAGGCCACCTTAAATTTTATACCTCACTCACCTCTCCAGAGTTCCAACCTCCAAAAAGGTTAACATGTCAGATGTTACACCAGGATTGTCAGCCAAGGGTGATTTCCCCCTTACCTGGGGACATTGGCAATGTCTGGTGGCATTCTTATTTGTCACACMTAGGAGAAGGAAGGGATTTCTACTGGCATCTCCTAGGTAGAGGCCAGGGCTGCTGGTAAACACCCTACAATGCAGACACATTTTAGCGTCCACAACAAGGATTGTCCATGTGCCACAGTTGTGAAAGCTGGCACGTGTCATCTCATTCAGTCTTCACTACAACTTCAAACCATGTGGGTCCAATTACCACCCCCACTTCACAGATGGGGAACTGAAGCTAAAGGGAGCAAAATACATTGCCCAAAATGGGGTCTGTAAAGACTGTCTGTGCTCCTTGGAGGGGATCAGACTCCTTCCTGAAACCAGCGCTTTCTCTTCGGGCTGAAAGATCCAGAATAGTCATGGTTCTTTTCTGCAGTCACACAGAGAGGGACAAGACAGGCGAGGTGGAAGGCTCTTCCATCGCAGCCTGCTCTATCTGTCCCACAGGACAGGCAATTCTCCCTCCCTTCAACCCAGACGGGCTACATGTCCTCCGCCCTCTCTTCTGACTATCCTTCCTCCTCCCTCCTCACAATGCAGGCCCTGCGATCGCAGATGAGCAGGCATAAGGTTTTCCGAGAGTTTCCTGTTGGTAACAAATCAAATTTGATCAAAGATATCAAATCTGAGAATAACTCCTCCAGCTCCTGGGCCAATAGCTGAATCTGGTGTGTTGGGCTCTCAGGCCACCGCCTCAGCCTCCACCTCAGTCTCCACCTCAGCCTCCACCTCAGCCTCCACCTCACCCTCCACTCTTCACCAGCCACGCCCAGAGCCCCACTCAGCCTTCTGGCTCCCCTATAATTGGGGGTCAGGTGGCATTGGGTTGACCTCTGACCCTTCCATCTGCCCTGCTCTTTCTAACCTCAGCTCTGAGAGGCCGCTAGGCACAGTGGATAAGAGCCCCACCTTGGAATCAGGTGACCAGGGCTCAGTCACTTGTCAGCCGTATGGTCCTAGGCAAGTCCCTTGAACTCTCAGTGCCCGATACTAACTGTACCCACCTCATAGAGCTATTGTCTGGAACAGATCAGATAATTCATGAGAGCAATGAAAGTAATTCCCAACACCTAGGGAGTGCCCCGCAAAGTGCTGACTGGGTTCTCAGTAGTCAGTAACCTCTATTAATTAACCAGGGTTCAAATGATGCAAAGGATGCCTGGGCTCCTCCTGTTCCCTCTGAAAGAAACTGGCAGATGTGATGCATGCAACTACTGCATGCCTGCGACCTCCTCATAGAGGTCATCTCTTAATCTCTCCTCGCTTCCATCTTGAAACCCTACCCCAAACAACAGGGACTCCTCCAACTCAGAGACGGCATAACAGTCGCTCTATGAAAGCTCTCTGAGCCTCAGTTTTCTCATTTGTGAAATAAAGACAATAATAGTGTTTCCATCATAGGAATGCTGAGGGACATGGTTGATGTTCCTACTAAGGGGGCACACGGTGACTATTATGGGTTCACTCTTGTCAGTGTCCTAGGGACAATTGGGATGTTCTCTGCTGAGAAGTGAAGGGCTCAGAGGCAGAGCCAGCTCATTTCCATCACTTCTCACCCCTTAGCAGCAYCTGGCTCTGGCCAGTGGGCAGCATGGTCAGGCCCTCCTCTCCAGCACCCAGAAGTCAAGGCCGTCAGCAACATTTGGTGCCCCAAGAGCTGACAGAATGCGGCTTCTCCCTGGAAGCCCATATTATGTTAATGCTTTGTCATGAAATACTCCAGCAGGGAGTTCGGGGACTCGCTTGCCTTTGCTGTGTAGTAAAATTTTCATTTATGGTTTATGCTGTTAAATGTTCCTTTACTGGAATGCAAGGTGGTGGGGCCCAAGAGAACTGTAACAGCCAAATTCTGGCCTTTTTTAACAAAGTTCATCTGCCGACTTAGCTGTACTGGTATTTGCGTGGAATTTAACACTTTTAAACCTGCCAAGCAATGGAAACATAACTCAGTGATTTTTTTTTTTAAATCTGAGATAGCATTAGTGGCATAAAATTAATGAAGAGAAAATATGTCGACCGAGCCTGAGAAGCTGTGAAATAGTTATTGGATATTTATGGACGGTTCTTTCTTCCAGCACTGTTTGCGGCCTACCTGGGGACTGCCCTGGCCAACATGTTATCTGTGGTGAGTCAACATCTCTGGGCTGCAGATGTGCCCACAGTCCCCTCTCAGCTTCCCCCAAACTTGTTCAAAACCCTCCTTCACAAACCTTTCCCAATTCTCCCTCTTGTCTCCAACCACATACCTAGAACATAGTAAGTGCTCAAGAAATAGCAAATGAATGAAGCCCTAAGGTCACAGCCTCCAGCACAGGGGAAATTAGATCTGGGGCTTTGTATCTGAATGGCAGAAACTCCCAGAGCTCCCTGTTACCCCCACAAGATGAAAGGAGTTGGTTCTCAGAAGTTCAAATGTCAACTGTTGCTCAATCAAATCCCATCGTCAGTGAGCCCAGGGAGCTTCCTGTAGGGCAATTAGAAGTGTGTTCTCTTATAAATCGAACTCCTTTCTCGTGTACTTATTCTTCAGGACTATTTTTAAATCTTTATTATTTGTTTTTTATAAGTGTCTATAGATCATCTGCCCACCTGGCTTGTGGGTCAGTGTGCATCTTTGGCTCATAGCAAATAGCATAGTTCATGGGAGTGAGGGGGTGTTGCTGGCAAAGGCCTCAGGACACAGGGAGAGTCAAGCATTAACCAGCAGAGAGAAGCCAGAGTGGGCAGCTATGCCCAGCAGCTCCAGGGCCCCTTCTGTCTGAGCTCCCATTGGGTGGTACGTGAGGTCAGGAGGAGCTACTGGCCAGCCCCAGGCCGGCACATACTCCTGAGGGCTCAGCATGCAGTTGCTGCCTCCTCTTCTTAGATAAGGTCTCAAGGGACATATCATATGAACAACCAGGAAAATTCCTGTTGCTCYTGCAGGTGGGATGGAGAGGACATTTTGCTCATGGCTATCAAAATTCCTCCTTCAACTCTAATGAAAATGGGTGTTTTGAACTTAACCTAGGAGAGTATTTTCTAAGCAGTGGAGTTAGCCTTCCCTGATACTATCATGTCTCCCCCAGTGGACTGAGTTCTTCCTCTGGGGTCTATCGCACGGTGARCACTCTGGCTATGACACTTGACACATAGTATTGACACATATCGGTCATCTTCCAGCTTTAGCCCATGCACTCCTTCAGAACAGGGGCCCTATCCTATTCTTCTCTTCATCTATGTACCTAGTACAGTACCCAGCACATAATAAATGCTCAAGAAATAGCAAATGAATGAAGCCCTAAGGTMACAGCCTCCAGCACAGGGGAAATTAGATCTGGGGATTTGCAGAGGACTGTCAGAAAYACTGAGAGCAACAAGAGGGTGCAGTCTGACCTCCATGCCTGCTGCCTTTTCTGGCACCATCCATTCACCCACGTGCCTTCCTTGGACAAGGGGCCAGAAGAGATGCAAAGCAGGAAGCTATGGTTCCTGGTCACCGGTATTTCCAGTGGTGATCAGCCTTCACCTCTGTGGGCAGAGGAGTTATAGATTACAGCGCTCAATTTAGACATTCAAAATGAAAACAAGCTGATGTCCTGGGTGCCTCCTGTTTTAAGACACTGTGCTGACCACGGACAGGGATACCAAAGCATGCAGGCTATTAACTTACCCAGAAGTCATTTCCAATCTTGTTGAGGAACAGGGTATTAAAATGTTGAATGACATTTATGAGACCATTCAACCCTCCTCAGAAGAGCCCTTATGAGCCACACTCCTTTGCTTTCTAACGGGCACATGTATATGCAGCCCCGGGTCTTCAACAGTCCTGCCATCTGCTTGATGGTAATGACTATGTCCTGAGGACCATTTATTGAGCATTTACTATGCAATAAGCACCATATCTCCAAGTAGGTATTATGATCTCTGGTTCACTATTGAGGAAATAGGTCTCAAAAAGATTAAATGATTATCACAAGGTGATCAGAGCTGAGATTTGGATCTGAGTATGTGGAGCTCAATGTCCTTTCCACCATGGGACTCCAAGGGATGCATTCCAGAGTACCTTGTGCACCTTGTGCTTTGGAAAGACTCATGGAGCACCATGTATCACTCAGGGTATCCCTGCAGCCTCTTTTTTGTTCTGTTCTTGTTCTTCCCCCAATGCCCATCCAATGGTGCCATCTTGACACATATGCATAATTGGCATTGTCACTCCCATGGTTCCACCTGAGGTTCTTCCTGCTTATAACAACATGATATTTGGGGAAGAGGGGACATGATTTGATCTGCTTCAGAGTTGAATGTATAGGCTCTCTGTTTGCAATCTCAAAAGACTGAGGAAACGCATGCAAAAGCCTCAGGGCACCTCAGGGAATGAAAATCTTGTCACCATCRTGAGGAAGGGACGTGGGGATGGAAGAGCCCTTGAGAGGAGAGGCAGCTGCTCTTGTCTCCAGCTCCCAGGGACAAGGCTATCATTCCTCCACTCCACTCCACTGGGTTGCGTCTGTCTGGGAAGGGTTTCTCTGTGGCACRAAGCTTCTCAATGGCCAGCTGTCACTGTGCAGTTCTCCAGTCCCTCCAGTTCATATAAGACCTATGGACACTATCTCTGTACCTTTCAGTTCACGTTCTCAGAAGTAAAGAATCCACACAAGTTCAAAGCCAGCCTCAGCAAAAGCGAGGCGCTAAGCAACTCAGGGAGACCCTGTCTCTAAATAAAATACGAAATAGGGCTGGGGATGGGGCTCAGTAGTTGAGTGCCCCTGAGTTCAATCCCCACTACCAAAAAAAAAAAAAAAGATCCATTAGCCCAAGCCACCTGCCTTGGGAAGTGGTGTTTGAGTGGGGTGCCCATCTCAAGTCCAGTGAGTTGTGACCAAAGACAAAGGTCTTGAACTTCTAAATGTCTGCCAAAGGATTCTTTCAATAACAGCTGGTGGGAGGAGACATGGAACTGCTGCGGTTCATAGAGCTGGACAAGTGGCCCAGCCAGACTCCCCAAGACAAAGCACACCTTCCACACAGAGGCATGGTACCCCACTAGAGTTCCAGGGCTGCATTGCAGGAGAGAGTGCTCCCTGCTATGAGGGAGGCTAGTGCCATGGTCATGATTTTATTTATATTGGCTTTCAATTAAGCATGCCCTCATCAGTGCCCCCCGGGCACCCCTTCCTCCACCCAGGACYAAAGGCCATTGGTGAGGGCTGATTAAACAGGCGCTAGCACCTCATTAACTCAGGCTTCTCTTTGTGTCTCCCCTCCCTCCAGTTTGGATTACCACCCTGCACCTGGCCCTTCTGCCTCTCAGCGCTCACCTTCCTGCTCCTGACGACCAACAACCCYGCCATCTACAGGCTCCCGCTCAGCAAGGTCACCTACCCAGAGGCCAACCGCACCTATTACCTGTCCCAGGAGAGAAACAGAAGAGTATCCACCACAACCAAGTACCAGGCCTACGATGTCTCCTAAGTGACCCTTTCCAGCAGGCTACCTGTGTCCCCAGGCTAAAAGTCACTTAACCTCCCCTCTGTCTGTTCTGTGATTCTCCCTGCCAAGCACAGACCAAAATGTGTGTGGTCACCTTCAGGAGTCTCCCTAAGATGCACGACACTTGTCCACAACATGTTAGTTTAGACTTGACACCCACGGCTGGCTCTATTGGCCCAAGAGCTCCCTTTGAGGGGAACTTGCTGTCTTCTGCAAAATAAGCCTCATCCTTAAAGAGAGGTCACCCAGAAGGGACAGAGATGGGTGACATGATCACCCAGCATAGTCATTTAATGTAGCAAAGCACAGCCCCAGGAAATGTTCATTAGCCTGGAAAGCAAGAGGCCTGATCCCCTCCCAGCTCTGCCACTAATGACCCCCAACTGTCTCAGGCTCAATTTCTTGTTGACAAGGGTTTCTTTATGACAGGGAGGGACTCTAAAGTCTCTTCCACCTCWGAAGTGTTGATTCTTCTCTGTCTCCTATAAACTGATCAAATTAGCATGACCGGCAAGTATTACCTTAGGTTAAATAATAGAAGAAGCAGCAGGACAGCGCTACGGCTCTCCAGAACTTGACTCTCAGATTAGAGAAGTTCTCCAGATTTGAGGTTAGGAACCTACTTTCACCAGAATTGCCAACTGCCTTTCCTGACATAACAGAAATATTTCTGGAGATGTCATAAAATGATCTCTTGCAACACTTGAATCACAACATAAAGAAGTGTCTTTCCTTTTGTAAAATTCACAATCATAATGTCATTAAACTGCTCTAACATTGTGAGTTGGAAGCAGGGTTTCCCTCCACAGTCACGTGCTGCCCACTGGAAGGGTTTTCCTGGGTCACACCTGTCTGGAAAGAGACAAGGGTGGGATAAAAACTGTCAGAAGAGGGTGTGGTTTGCTGATGGAGAGAGTTACACAGAAATGACCTTGGACATTGCTTTCTGTTTGAGCCGAAGTGCAGATTCTGGTGACCCATGTCTCTTTGAGCATATTTATCCTTGTGTGCCCAGAATACAGACCCAGCTCCTCTTGGATGGCCACTAACTTCCATTAGTCACTCTGGGGATAGCACGGACGGAGCTCCTAAACCACAGGACTCCTTTGTGGGAAGCCATGTGCCCCAGCCCTCCCACCTCTCTCTCAGCGGAGGGAAAACCTCTTCTTGCCACAGTGACACACACACACACACACACACACACACACACACACACACACACCACTTCCAGTTTAGCATGATGGGACAATGACATAAGAAGGGAGTGGGGGATGGAAGAAGAAGAAGAGGACAAACCCCTCTATGAACACAGCTTTAAGAAAGAACAATTTACACCGGGCCTGGTGGCACACTCCTATAATCCCAGCCGCTCAGGAGGCTGAGGCAGGAGGATCACAAGTTTGAGTCCAGCCTCAGCAACTAAGTGAGGCTCTAAACAACTCAGTRAGATTCTGACTCAAAATAAAAAATAAAAAGGACTGGGGGTTTGGCTCAGTGGTAAAATACCTCTKGATTCAATTTTCTAGTACAAAAAAAAAGTGCACTTTACCAAATCCATCCTTTACAAAAAGTTTGTTTCTCCCTGTGTCTTCTCATTCCCCCATCTTCTACAAGGTCGACTGGGCTGTATGTTTGCCTTSCAGTCGTAGCTAGCCCATTAGGACTTCCCCAGGAAAGCAGAGCCCTTCTCCATGGAAACAAGTCYTCCACGCAGGAAAGGGAATGACTCACATTCCAGAGCTCCCTCTGAGTTCGCCATCACACCTTGAGGTCAAGAAGGTCCCAGGCTGTATTTTAATGACCATAGAATTACACCTCTCTGAGGAGCACACATCCAGGACTTTCCCCAGAAAGCTGTTTGCTCTCAATTCACTCAGCTGTCCCAGAACCTCCAAGTGATGACATCGAACTATTAAAGTACCCGTTCTCATGCACTTACCACCAAAGTCTTATATAATCTGGTTTTATTAAGAGCAGGAAACCCTCCACGTGCATGCCGTTCTGATTACTGACCACTAATAAAACCTCTCAGCTGTTCTAAGTATTACAATACCCTTGCCTATAAAGCAAGCTGAATTGGCGCAGATTCCAAGCAAGGTGGAAATAGATGGGGTGAAAGAACTCAACCTGTGAAAACATGCAATGTCTATAAGGCACCAGAGTCGTCAGTCTAGTCCAACACTTCAATTAAGCATCAACCATGGAGTTGGAGTCRGCTCCACACTGCCTGAGAGCCAACTGAGCAAGCAACGCCATTCAGTGATGTCATCCTGGCAGCTTGAAATCAGCCATGGAGGGAGTGTTTACACCACAGAAATTGGCAAACTATGAATCTGGGTGTACACACAAAACCATAATATACATTTTACAGGACACACACCAACAAAAAAAAAGTGCTTTGGAATGTAGGAGGAAAAACGGTGAGGTTTACAATTAAACACACACACACGGCTTCATGAATTCTAGAGAAAGGCTTTGTATGGACCAATGAAGATAGCATGCTAAAGACTAAGGCACGTGCTTAACTCAACTTTCTGTTAGAAAAAAAATTAAAGGAGAGGGGTGGACACACACACACACACACACACACACACACACACACACACGAGTTGTTTTTGTCATTTATCTCTTCTGTACAGAACTAGCCCACCAATGGTACATAGTATCCTTGAGCTGGTTGAGGAACTGGCTGATAAGATACCACCCCATCCCTTCTCTCCTGCCCTCTTCACTTATCCTGGCTAGAATTTGAAATCTGTTTCACAACACAACCACTTACTTATAATAGACACAAGAATCTCAGGCAGGCAGCAGACACAATCTTGTCTCCAAAAATGGCCACCTGTGACCTCCTCCAACCTTTGGTAATGGTGTTCAGGGAAAGAATGTTTCAGAATTGTCCACACCACTTAACCCTAAACTTTTCATCATTATATGGGCAATAACTTCAAGCCCAGGCATGCCATCTTCCGCAACCATCCTTTCCTTATGGCACATCTACACTGTGGAGCCCCAAGTCATATGATGGCCTCAGGTGAGACCAGTAGATGGTAGATCAGTAGTTCTCAAACTTCCGAAAGTATCGAAATCACCTCAAGAGCTTATTTAGCACAAATTACTGGGCCCCATTCCAGAATTTGATGCAGTAGGTCCAGGGCAGGGCCTGGGCATTTGGATTTCTAAACCTTCTCAAGTGGTGCCAATGCTGTGGGCTTAGGGGTCACACTTTGAGAAACATTAGTGTAAACTTAGAAATAAGATACTGTTCCCAATCACCCTTTCCCCTTCACTGAACATTACAATTCCCTGGTTGCAAACTCTCATGCATACAAGAACCATCTGCAGAGATTGTTAAAACATGGATCCCTGGATCTCAGCCCCAAAGATTTGGAATTGGAAGATCTGGATAGAGCCAGGAATCTGAACCTCCCACAAACTCTTAGATTATACAAATACTGCTGGATCAAGGTCCAGACTTCAAGATCATTGCATCAACTCTCAGCCCTGGTAGCTTAGAATTGACACATGGGGCCTACCCCAGACCAACTCAGCAGTGGGCCAGGGAACAGGGGTGTTTTTAAAACTCCTGGGGTATGTTCTAATGTGCAGACAGGATTGAAAAAACCATAGTGTCTGTTCTCTGGGCCCCAACTGGTCTCCAATCGGTCACTCCTAGAGGCTATTAAGCCCTAAGCCTCCATCCTCAGTCTGCAGGTGGGTTTTGAGTAAAGGGCAGAAGGCCCAACATGAAGTACAGTGGGAAGCACTGGGCACCTGGAGGCAGGAGGAACAGGCACACCACAGAGATCCTKAAAAACAGTCTTATCTCTTTCTCAGTGTTGTTGAGGGCTGTCCCTGCACCCAGCAGAGACTAAATAAAGAAAAATGAAACCACTAACCAGAAACATCCGGCTCAGTAGGCCAAGCAGACAAGCAAGGTTTGGCATTGGCCCCGGAAGACTATCAACTGAGCACCTTGGCCCAAGAGAGGAAACAGAAGGCACTGAGGCAGTCCACAGCCCAGCCACACAGTCCTCAGATGGGCAGCTCAGGCCTGGTGGAGGGGTGTGGCCRCAGGTGGGATGCAGCCGTGTTCAGCCCTGTGAGCAGGTAGGGGATGAAGGGCTGCCCAGGGTGGGGCTATAAGATGGGAGGAGTTGGGGTGACAGCAGCAGCTGCTGCTGCAAGTGGCCAGGCAAGTGGGGAGGGTACAAATAGGAGAGTAGCCCCATAGAGGCCCTGAGCAGGTAGGCACTTGAGATGAGAGGTCAAGGAGGTGGAGAAAAGCAGAACACAATGAYGGGCAAAAGAGCAAGTACCCGCGGGCCAGGTGGTACTAGAACAGGAAGGAGGAAGAGGGGAAAAATGGGCAGGTTTTGGTGGARAAGTGAGACTCCAGCCATCTGCAAACTGCCTGGTGAGGCCAGGAGTGTGACAGGGACAGGAAGGAGCGCTCACTCCTTTTGCCAGCATCTGTTTCTTGAGGGGTCAGTCTGAGTCACAAGGATCCACCATAATGTTGGAAAGAGGGACTGTCCCATGAATGTGGCCTGAGCAGCCATGGCAAGGAGCGTCACAGGGCAGGGAGGTAGGCACTCATGCAAGTGGGACACGGAAATATCCCGTGCCCAAGCCACAGCCTGGCCCCATCAGATCTCTAGGGCAAAGCCAGGCATGTGTGGTTTCAAAGCTCCCTGGGACATACGAAGGTTGCCGTGGGGCCCATAGGTGTGGAGTGGTCCCTACTGTCAGGTGGGCTACAGGGAGGCTGCAGGGAGAATTTTCTGGAGAGTTCTCAGCTAGGAGGACCCTCAGACAGCATGGTTTGTCGAGTGGTAGTTGTCCCCATACCTGGGTCAGAGGTGGCATGCAGTTACATGCACTTCTTGAGCTCTGGGTCTGGAGACTTAAGCTGTATTCCAGGCCCTCTACAGACCTGTGGAATCCTTTTCTGCTTGTCTATGGGCCATTTTTGTTTTAAGCTCCTTGAGAGACATCCATGCTCTGCTGGTTTCCGGCAACCCTGATGTAGACCAAGACAGAGAGCTCAGGACACAACCCCGAGGAGAGGGTCAGGAGGGTAGGCCAGGGCCTCACACAGGGTGGTCTCCCTCATCACCCGTCCTGGGCAGCCACTGCCCCCAAGGGCCAGCTTCYCCACTTCAGGGCCCCACCTGGCTCCTTGACAGGAACAGACTCTGATCCCAGCACAGGGCTTTGTATGGTCTCTGAGTCCCCACACTTCC